TGAAAGATGAAATCAGTTCCAAATTATACATTATCCAGATTAAAACATCTCACCACAATATAAGTGTCACTACGTGAGATGGGCAGCTCTACAAGCATGATTGGTAGGTAGGTAGGTAGGTAGGTAGGTAGGTAGGTAGGTAGGTAGGTAGATAGATAGATAGATAGATAGATAGATAGATAGATAGATAGATAGATAGATAGATAGATGACACTTTGAAGTTTTAAATCTAGATGACCACTAGATGGTAGAAATGAGTTAAATTTATCTATATCTCATCTAGTGATTGTCTGGATTGTTGCAGTCCAGATTTAGATAAACCCACCAATACTGAATTGTTTAATCTTAACATTGGCCAGGTTGTCTTTAAATTAAGAAGTTGTAGTCTAGTACATATGGAAAGCATCAAGCTGGAGAAGGCTGATTTAATCTGCCCCTTTTGAGTGTAATTAACTCAAAATCAAGATAATTAGGCAAATATCCTAGGTCCATCACTCCTATTACACATTATGAGCTCATTTCTTATTTTTCCTAATGAAAACCAAAATTGGTTACATTAAGGCAGGCACTGCCTAAATGAAATGATCAAAACAACAAAGAATTGATTGGATCAATACACATTTAGGTGATCATTGCAAGGTACTAGTATTTCATGTGTTGTTTCTGCTTCTTTTTCTCCTTTTGTTGGAAAACAAACCAAGTCTGAATTGAAACTAAGAGAACTGTCTTAACCTTCTTCATTTCTGATAAATATTTTAATAATATTACACACATCATTTTTCATACATACGGACTTCCTAAGGGTGATGTTGGTTGGCTTCTGTTCACGATTCATCACACCACTTTGAAAAATTGCCATTAGAGGGAAACTTCCTTCCCTAAAATTTATTTTCCATAAGTGTTAAGATAGAGCAAATAAGCTAAAATGTTCTTTTGTAATTATTTTGCAGTTACTACACAGGTGAAACAAAATAATTTCCAACCAGCAAATTCCTTTCTTTAGTTTGCTTCATTTTCAGGAAGTGCATACATTACTGAAGGAAGAAGTTATAGATCTTTCAGAGCCCTGAAAAAGAACATTTAATGCATGCAGTTTTGTTATTGCATGAACCTTCTGCACTCTTTAGATCTCTTACCAGTGCCTTTTAGAATGGGGTAACCCTGACAGGGTACTTATCTTAATTTTGACTGCCTCTCTTTTTCTTAAAATTGTGTGTTTTAAAAAGAATGCATGAGAATCAGTGATTTATAGTTTAATCCTAAGTATGCCGTAATCCCAAAAGATTGCAGCTGTAAATGTAAATAGTCAAAATATTAAATTTATTGAAAGAAACACATTTTCTGACACCTCCATCTTCATTTTTTTCCACAGAAGTGCAGTCAGATGATCTGTTAGCAATAGGTTATCAAAAATCCTTTATCATTAAACTATTTTGCTAAATTGAGGTATTCTAGTAGAGTAAAACTTTAAAGAAAGGTTCCCCTATTTCTTGTTCCCATTCTTAAATCAATTACAAATTCAGAAGAATTTGCATAAAACTGATGTCTCAACACCACAGGTAGAAAAGTTCACATTTTGACACCTTCTTGCTTATCTTTGCAGTTTAGCATTGTATCACATTTATATCTGAGACATGAATACACAAAAGCAAAGATCCCTTTTGATTAATGCATCAATCTGGTCAACTTTACCTTGTTTACAAAACACTATAACCCAAATTGCAAATGTTTGCCACTTCTACAAAAAAGAACTGACTGAACTTTCAAAGCTTCCTTTCAGCCAATTTATTGCAAAGTCAGAACATTTTAGTCAAAATAAAATGTCTGTCTCTCTCATATATATGCATATGGAAAATATATAATCCTTATTAATAAAAGTGGTATGCCACAAATGCACATGCTGAATGCCAAAGAGAGGAAGGACAGGGCAGGAGAGAATTATGGGAGTGGGAAGCAATACCTGAAATTTCTGAGATAAAACTGTCTTTTAACAGGACAAAAATGTCAAGCCCCAAAGTAGTCCAAAGAACAGCCCTTCCATGAGCAAAATAAGGGAATCTGCAGAGTCCTTGGGGTTCTCTGAGTTTGATTGTTTTCTTGCAGATGTTTCATTACCCAACTAGGTAACATCTTCAGTGCAAAAGGAAGCTGCTTCAGGCACTAAGGTGAAAAGGGTTGGGAGAATATATGAAGGCCAAAAGTGGGATCTGGATGATGTGGGAAGACCTTTTCAAGTGTTGGCCCTTGACAAGAATTGGCAGATGAGAAGACAGGGCTTCAAACAACAAAATGTTTTAGGCCTCCAGTAAGTCCTAAACCCTGCCAGACTATTTAGACAACGTAGAATAGCTGCAGGCACAGAACTTCCCCTGGCAAGAAAAGGGTGAAAAGTTCAAGGGAAGCCAATGGCCTGCACCTTATTTTTCTTCAGCCGCAAAATGGGTGAAGCTATTGGTCCCAGTGAAGACATGCTATCAAGTAGCACATCCTCTGAGCCCAATTATCCTGCAATTCACCTCCACCAGGAGTCCTAAGTTCATCTTGAGTTTATGTGTATCTTATTTTATAAAGCGAAAACAGCTCACTCATACCTCCCTTCAGCCCCAAGACCACTATGAGGGCTTGTACTGTATGCCTTGAGCTCAGAGGCTGAATGCATCTTGCTGTATACGTGTCTGAGTCCAACACAAATCCTGACAGTGGCATTGTAGCCTGGAATTGGTAGCTGGGTTGCTAGAAGGGTTGATTAACTGCCATTGTCGTTACACAGACTGCGTCACATAGTCTCTAGCTTTGCAGAGGAGCACCTAAGGTTTTAGCTGTCTCCTGAGCTAACTCTTTTGAGCTAAGTCTAAGAACCACTGCAGCCTTTCTCCTTGAGATGGGAATCTTGAACAGCAGGGACAGTAACAGCAAATGTTCCCAGAGACAACAGGAAAGTAGGTAGAAAGAAGGAAAACAAAAGAGAAAAGAGTGTCCTGTACTTTTGCATTTGCACCCGTGTTGCCTTTTAGAAAAAGAAAAGGTTTTCTAGGTTGTGATGCTAATATGAATTTAGGCTTGTATCTTCCCAGGTAGGTTTCCAATTTTAGGTGGTATTATATATATTTGCATATCATTCTCTGAATCTGGAAGTACAGCCTAATTTTAAAGGTAAAGTCCAGCTTTTAAGTTGAAAGTTTAACAGTTCTAACCACAGTTTTTCCTGTCTTCAAAGTGACTTGTTTTCTTCCACTTCCCCCACCTCTTCCAAAAAAAATCAAAATGTACTTCATGAAACTATTGTATATGAAGCACTTATTAGCCATAATTAAATGGACAATATGAATTTACTACGTCTTTAGGACTCTGGCTTGTTCTGGTTTAGAGCAAGATGATTAATGCAAATACATATTACTTGAGATAACCATTTAGCAGCTAATTTAGCCAAATTTATTACAGCAGTTAGAGGTTTTTCATTTTAGCAGACGGAGACAAGGACATGCCAAAAGCGGAGATGTATGTGAATGCACACTGCCCTCTAGTGCACAAGATTTACAGGATGGAGAACAAATGCAGCCCAGAAGAAGAAATGAATACTGAACACATTGTCTGTATTCTGCCAAAGACACGCTGCTTCCTTATTTTAGCAAGTGATATGTTACTGTTCAAGAGTTTTAAATTAGCTAAAACTCTATTACTATATTTGGCTTGGAAATACTGGCTTGAAACAAATTTTAACATCTCTGTGCTGAAGTGTCTTTAAGCAGAATTTCACAGAACTTATAATTTTTGCTTGTTCTTCCATTTCTGGTTCTATTTCAGACATTGCACAGAACTCTTGCCTTAACATGCTTGATTCTACAACTCCCTTAGGCCACAGTTTCTTCTGCAGTTCTTTGGTTGATTTATTTTGCTCTGGTATTAAGCCAAGTCTCTACAGACATTCCTCCTATGACCACTGGAGATTTGGTTCATCTGAAGACTGTAAATTCTGTTTGACAAGATCAAAAGAAACAGATGTGTAAGTTCAGTAGTTGATATCACCTGCAATGAAGAGAAATGATCAAAGAACTAGGGTACCGTATCTTCCCAAACCTTTCAAATAGCCAGAATCTCAGAGAGGTTTAGTACCTAGCAGCTATGAATAAATCACATAGAAATTTAACGTGTGTATGTGAGATATGTTTATATATATATATATATATATATATACATACATACATACATACATACATACATAC